AAACAGCCATGCCACTGTTTGTTTTCCACGTGCTCGTGTCTTAGACATCGCCAAGCATCTCCCCTCGGCTCTCAGCAGACGCAACGCCTTCGGGACTGTGGTGATCCATGTCGGGACCAACAACATCGCTGACCGACATAGTGAAGTCCTGAAGGAGCACTACCAGATGCTGCTGGACACCGCCAGGAAGAAGACAGACGCCAGGATCGTCATCTCCTGGTGCACCCTTAACGGCTTGGGCTACATGGACAACTGGGCCTCGTTTTGGGAACAGCCAGCCCTCAATCCATAGTTCTCTCACGGAACATTGAGAGGGCCATCTGCTGACTTCAGAGTGAAGGCCACGTAAGCGGCGTCAAAAATAGAAATGCTACAGCTCATAATGCTAGTGTTACTGCTAAAAATGATGCGCTTATACTGTAAATAGGGCAAGTGCTAATACAAATACTTATTCTATAAATACAAATGCTCATAGGTTTCTCCCAACAGACACTGTCTGTTCCCTGAATAAAACAAAGCATCAAAAAGCCTCAAAAAGTTTGCTTTAGTAACTTGATTAATATCAGACCAGTTACACCAATTTGCAATGACAGCACCTTTGGTCTAAAACTAGGACCGCTTAACATAAGATCCCTCACATCTAAAGCCGTCATTGTTAATGAAATTATTACCGACCATGGTTTTGATGCTCTGTGCCTCACAGAAATGTGGATTAGACCCAATGAATACTTCAGTCTAAACGAAGCCACACCCCCAGGCTACAGCTATGCATATAGCCCTCGTTTAGGCAGCCAAGGTAGAGGTATAGCAACCATCCATACTAAAGCTTTAGGCGTGAGCCAGAAAGTAGGCTATAAATTCTCTTCTTTTGAAGTTCTTTTTCTTAATATAAGTGATCAAGGATCAAATAAAAATTCCTTTGCACTAATTACAGTCTACAGGCCACCAGGGCCGTATTCTCACTTCTTACAGGAATTCTCTGACTTTCTATCAAGTCTAATAACGCTTTCAAATAAAATAATAATTGTCGGAGATTTTAATATCCACTTTGACAATCCTCAAGATGCACTAAGCAAGGCATTTATATCTATCATAGACTCCATAGGTTTCACCCAAATCATAAAGGGGCCCACACACTACCACAACCACACTCTAGACTTAACTTGACCTCTAGACCTAGACTTGACCTTTGGTGTAGACATAGATAACTTAACCATTCTCCCCCAGAGCACAGCAGTCTCTGACCATTACTTAATCTCATACAAAATTCACTTCAGTAGTAATGTGCGTTCATCACCATGTTATTGTGTTAAGCGGACAGTAACTCCCTCCACAGCTAGTAGCTTTATCAGAAAACTTCAATTATCAGCTTCTGTCAGCTGTCCATCTAATACTACTGAGTTAGATATTATGACCAAGCCCTTAGAGGAAAACTTTCGATCTACCCTAGATAGTGTGGCTCTATTAAAAAGTAAAATAGTAAGGCAGAAAAAACTCGCCCCATAGAAAACAATAAAAATAATCCTAGATTACTATTCAGCACAATCTCTAAACTAACAGAGAACAAAACAGTTAGTGAACCGCAGATGCCATTAGCCTATAGCAGCAACGATTTTATGAACTTATTTAATGACAAAATTGAAAAAATTAGGCAGAAAATTCAGAATACACAATTAAACTCCTCAAACTTGCCTCCCCATAATGCCAGCCTCAATCTTGAGAATATTATAATCCCTGCAGAGAGGCTTGAATCATTTACCTTACTTCAAGAAAATGAACTAGTTAAATCGTTTCTTCCGCAAAATCATCTACTTGTATGTTAGATCCAATTCCTACAGGTTTACTCAAGGACATTTTGCCAGAAATAACCAAGCCTATTCTGTCAATAATAAACTCCTCTCTTAGCCTTGGATACATCCCAAAAACTCGATCCATGCAAACTATCAAATTATAGACCCATCTTGAATCTCCCCTTTATATCTAAGATCTTGGAAAAAGTTGTAGCAAAACAATTACATTCCTATTTGCATAGGAATCAAATCCATGAAAAATTTCAATCTGGCTTTAGGCCACATCATAGTACAGAGACAGCACTAGTAAAAATTGTAAATTATCTATTATTATTCTCTGACCAAGATAATGTGTCCTTGTTAGTCCTCCTCGATCTTAGTGTATAACTAATATTACTAGACTAGCCTTCCTGCATCTCCGCAATATTGCTAAATTAAGAAATGCATTATCTCTACAGGATGCAGAAAAGTTAGTTCATGCATTTATTACTTCAAGGCTAGATTACTGTAATGCCCTGCTGGCTGGATGTTCCAGCAAAAGCCTTAACAAGCTTCAGCTAGTCCAGAATGCTGCAGCCAGAGTTCTTACTAGAACCAGAAAGTTTGACCATATCAGCCCAGTTTTATCAACCTTACACTGGTTACCAGTTAAATTTCGCATTGATTATAAAATTCTCTTACTGACTTACAAAGCACTAAACAGACTCGCCCCTCAGTACCTGAGTGAACTTCTCTCTCACTATGAACCATCACACCTACTTAGATCACAAGGTGCTGGCTTACTATTAGTACCTAGAATTAATAAAGTTACGTCAGGGGGGAGAGCCTTCTCATACAAAGCCCCCCAGCTTTGGAATAATCTTACTGTTAATGTTCGGGACTCAGACACAGCCTCAGTCTTTAAGTCTAGGCTAAAAACCTACTTGTATAGTCAAGCCTTTGGTAATTAGTTTTCCCTGTCAGTTCTATACCTGCCAGAGTCTCTGCTGCTCTGCTAACACTTTAATCTGTGATCAGTCACCCATTACAGAACTGACACCCATTACAGAACTGACTCTCTGTGTGTTTTTCCTTTCCTTTCTTTCTTTTCTTTGCCGAGTTGAACAGCTGCACATCCTGTACATTCTGATGCTGCTGCCTCTCTGTCTTGATCGGGTGCCACTGCTCGCCAGCCCTCTGGACCAGCTTGACCACCATTGAGCTTCCTGCTGTACAACGCTGTGCAAACCTCACCCTCACAATCCCGACCCCACTGATGCTGCTGTTGCATAAACTAAACTAATCAAATTAATCATTTGAACTAATCAATCATTTAAACTAATCAAATTAATCAATCACCCATTACAGAACTGACTCTCTGTGTTTTTCCTTTCTTTCTTTCCTTTGCTGAGTTGAACAGCTGCCCACCCTGTACGTCTGATGCTGCTGCCTCTTCTGCCTTGATTGGGTGCTACTGCTCCCCAGCCCTCTGGACCGGCTTGGCCACCATCAAGCTCCATGCTGTACTATGCCACGCAAACCTCACCCTCACAACCTGACCCCACTGATGCTGATGCTGCTGCCGCTGCTGCTGCATAAACTAAACTAATCAAATAATTCGTTGCTCCATCTGTTTTTGTACTAACAATGTTTACTATCCGGTGTCGACCAGAGGAGGATGGGTTCCCCTTCTGAGTCTTGGTTCCTCTCAAGGCTTCTTCCTGTTTCCCTAGGAAGTTTTTCCTTGCCACTGTCGCCACTGGCTTGCTCATGGGGGCTTGGGCCCGGATTTCTTTCTGTAATGCTGATTTCCTTGTAAAGCTGCTTTGTGACAACACCTGTTGTAAAAGGTGCTATATAAATAAACTTTACTTACTTACTTACTTACTTACTTACTACTACTTCTAGTGCGAGTTTCACAGCTAATAACTCACGATCTCCAATTCCGTAATTTCTCTCTGTAGGAGTAAGTTTATGGGAATAAAATGCGACAGGGTGAAGTTTTTCTGGGTTACCAGAACGCTGGGAAATGACGGCCCCTATCCCAGTCTCCGAAGCATCTACTTCCACGACGAAAGGTTGAGAAGGATCAGGATATTTCAAAACTGGAGCTGTGGTAAAAGCTTCTTTAAGTGCGCAAAAGGCGCTCTCAGCTTGTTCTGTCCAAGTGAGTTTTTTCAGGTACCTTTCAGGACGGCAGTACGGGGAGCGGCAGTTCTGCTAAAATCTCTAATAAAACGTCTATAGAAATTCGCAAAAACAGTCCAAAAGGGGTCAGGCAAAAACGGATGAGTCAAAATACATATGAATAGTCAAAACCGGAAAACACAACACAGGAAATAAACGCTCAATAGCTCTAGAAAGAAACAATACCTCACACTGAACTGTTCTAAAAGCCCGGGCTTTATACTAAAGCTAATGAGAGGTCACAGGTGTAACAGATCAGTACTCAGGAGAGAGAGACCTGTGATAGGAGCATGGTGGAGGGTCAGGAGTCATGTGATCTCCCAGAGGATCCTCTGAGCCATAGGGATGCATGAAAATGTATATAATGCTACCTTGCTGTAGAATGATTACCTGTGACTCAACATAAGCATTTCAATGCACAAATGTCCTGACATGTGCAAAAGATAAATAAACATGAAACTTGAAACTTTTTCTTGCTGGCCTTTCTAAGAAAACATGCTATTTTGACCACAAATTCAACTTCTTTGGATTAAGAATTTTTGGTTAAGGTTAGATTTAGGTGCAGTATTACTTGGCTACAGTAAAACCAAAGTCTATAGGAGTCCTCAAAAGTGTAGTGATACCAAGGTGTGATAATGATAATCAAACCTCATGCTGGTCACCCCCCTCCCCCACATCGCATCTGCATGTCTGTGGTTTTCCACTAAAGGGTCTGGCAGTGACGAACTACAACTTTTTATAGTATCATATACGAAATATATTTAATATTATACACTTGTTTTTTTGCTTTATAGGAAAAGATACTCAAGCTAAACCTGAACAGCCTCATTTATTTTCCACAGAACTAAATGTTTCCTATTCATTCCTGCTGTGCTTTGTCAGCTTGAGTATAATGACATATTGCTTATATTATGTATACATTACAATGACAACATATTATTTAGTGTCTTTGTTCATTTTTCTTCACTTATTTCCTACTTTTTTATGTCTTGCTCATTATAGAGGTTTTAACCTCTGCTTACTTCCTTGGTTTAGAAACTTCCTCACACGATGGCCGTGACAGCACAGCTGATTTTTGTTCTCTTCAGTTTGGTCTCGATCACAGGTAAAATTTAAACTTCATTACTGCCTTTTACTTTATAGAGACTAAACTATATTATAACCAGTAATTATCTTAACTATTTTCACATCATAGATGAAGAAATCATCATAAATCACTTTAACTTAACCATGCTATGGTCATTATTATGTTCAAGGGATGCTTAAAATATAGATTATGAAGTCAGTAGGACTTAGTATGGATTGAAGGATAGATTTTGTTGTAGTGCACTCTCAGATAAAAGGTACTAAATTGTCTCTGGGGTGGTACCCTGAAGAATATGTCTTCAGTACATTTAGTTAGGCAATATAATCGTACCATGTTACATTGAAATGTTCTTTTTAAGCCTTTTTTGACCCTACATACCAGCTGTTGTCTCCAGCCTTTTATTTCGTTGTTCTGTTTTAAAACATCAGGACATGAAAAGCTGTAAATATGTACTTTTCTCTTGCAAAAAACTTACTGAAGATACAAAATTAGCCCTTAAAACCATTGTAATACCTTTGAAGGCTCATTTAAATGGTTTGCACCTTGATAAACGAAAAATGTACCTGCACAGTACTTCTTTTGACAGTGTATACAGTGTTAATGAAACGCTTTAATACACTGCACTGAAGAATGACTTTCTTTAAAACTGTGAAGACTAGTGCTGACCAATTCACTTGCTTTCTCTTACTGTACACTCAATAAAGCTTTAGGTTCAGCGTTTGTAAGTTTGTAAATCTAGGGCTAAATCTTGTAACAATTCAAAAGAATGGTTCACTAAAGAATCAATGTTACAAGAGCTAACATGTAGCTAACAAGAAATAGAAACCTTAATCCTTTTTGGATCACCCAGCTTAAGGCTGATCAACTATGTATGGAAAGAGGGAACTTTGCAAATTAGATTTTTTTAGGAAATTCGTTTAAAGGGGCATTCGGGCTGAGAAACAGATTTTAATATGTTCTTTGTCATGATAGCACTGTATCTCTCAGCCTCATCGGTTTGACACAATCCACAATCCCCCCCATGACAATGAAGATATGCACTGATTTAGAGGCCTATAAATACAGACATAATACTTGACTTCCAGCCCATCTGCCTTCCTTCTGCATTAGCCAGGTAGCAGGAAAACAAACATTTCAAACCTCCCTCCATCCTGTATCCACCCCAAAGTGTTTTTAATTTTTCAAAGGTTAGTCCTACATTCAAGATACATCAGAAGAATCAGAATCAGAATTTGTATATGCCAAGTACCAGGTGTACAAGCAATTTCTCTTGGTGCAGGTGTCAACATAAAATTTAATTCAATTAATTAAATATAAAAAAGATATACTATATAAACAAAATAGACAATATAGACACACAAACAAACTGCAAGTTGAAGGTTGTGCAATGGAAGATTAATACAGATACAACCAAGCACTGGAAGACCGAGGTGCTGGAGTTTTTAAACACTGTGTCCACTCACTGTCCACTCTATTAGACATACCTGCATTGTTGGACCACCCTGTAGATGTAAAGTCAGAGACGATAGCTCATCTCTTGCTGTACAGTATGAGCTAATCATCCTCTAGTCCTTCATCAGTGGTCATAGAACGCTGCGCACAGGACGCTGTTGGCTGGATATTTTGGGTTGGTGGACTATTCTCAGTCCAGCAGTGACACTGAGGTATTTAAAAACTCCAGCAGCTCTGCTGTGTCTGATCCACTCGTACCAGCACAACACACAGTAACACATCACCACCACATCTGTGTTACTGCAGTGCTGAGAATGATCCACCAACCAAATAGTACCTGCTCTGTGAGGGTCCATGGGGGTCCTGACCACTGAAGAACAGGGTAAAAGGGGGCTAACAAAGTATGCAGAGAAACAGATGGACTGCACTCTTTGACTGTAGAACTACAAAGTGCACCTATATAGTAAGTGGAGCTGATAAAATGGACAATGAGTGTAGAAACAAGGATCGGTGTATACATTATATACAGAGAATTAAGCAGCAAATTTAAATATGAATGTTAATGTAAACATATTTATAAAATATGTATATTGTAACAAGTTAAAGTGCATATGTGCACTGAATATAGTAGAGGAAAGTGGGAAGGTTCTCATTCAGAAGCGTTATGGCATTTTAAAAAAGCCCATGTGCAGCTGATTAAACCGGAGGGATGTTAGAAGGGTCCTTGTTTAGGAGGATGGCCGGAAGAAAGAAGCTGTGGAGGTGCCGGTTGGTCCGAGTCTTTAGGGCTTAAGGGCTAGAATGAGGAAGAGGGCAGAGAAAATCATCCAGGCTTTTCCCTGCATTCTCTCATTCTAGCCCTTTCATGCATAAATTAGTAAAAATTGTATTCAGAGTTTTAAAAAAATGATTTTCATTTCTCAAATCGGCATAAAAAAATCATATGAATTTTCATATGAAATGTCCACATATGTGGAGACCATGCATTAGTGGAGTATGTCTTTCATTAACTTCAAAATGCAATATATTGTACAGCTAATACAGACAATGCTAAACTCAAAGCTTATTTTTCTTGTTTAAAAAACCTGCTTTGTAACTATTTAATAAATGCAAAAATTTGATCCCTCAAAACAGTCAGGACAGAAACCTGGCAATGGACACAGATGTATCTTGTCTTCCTTTTGCACAGTTCATAACAGCATCTCATTGCATTCTTGGTGACAGCACTTCTAGGCCAGTGTTTTCCAGTGTTATAGAGGCTTAGAGGTTGTGTTGACCTTCTCTTAGGAGCAGGAATGAGACTTGGCTGCCCCCAGAGCGCTTTTGCATGGCCCCACTGTTGATCAGTGCTTGAGCAATAGATGCTTTAAAAGACAACAGGTCTTAAGCTTGCGTGTTTTTCGTCTGGTGAAGTTCCCCTGCGTTCACACGTACCACATCCAGGAAGTGGTAGAAAATGTGCATACCACCTTTTGTTCTTTCTTCTGTTGATACACTGCAATATACTGATTCACCAGATCCACTCCCAAATGTGACTATTAGTAGACACCAACTGCAAATAGGTGATGTATTTGGATCACAGCACAGTCTTTTTTACTCCAGCTTTGTGCCACATCCTGAGGATGTTTACCATCACATGTCAAGACCACATAAACGATAGACCTATAACCCATTTTGTCACAGTTACATTCTCATTGGTTGACAGAGGATGCTCTTTTTGCCTGTTTCTTTAGCTCACTGAGGGTCTTGAGCTTGTCTGTAGCTCTTTTTTAGGGGGTTGACTCTGAAAGTGCCTGTAGCCTCAATTCCCTGACCATGTAGTGTTTTTAAAGAAGACAAAACTGTCAAAAAAACTGTCAAAAAAATTTTGTGGCTGTTGTCTTTGATGTCATCACAGAGGCAAAACATAACTCCAGCAGCCATTCCCAGGTCACCTATATCAGGAGTTCTCAATCTCTTTTTAACCCCAAGGCCCACCTGTTCATAACTAAAAAGCATAGCGGCCCACAGAAAAACTAAAATCAACTTTTTTTTAACTCACACTGAAAACCTGTCAATTAGAGCCTGAAAAAGATCAGATCCTTTTCACTTCAATCACAGAAACCAAAATTTGCAGTTACGTTAAAAAACATAACATGTAAAAAAAAAAAGAAAAAAGGTAGATGTAGACTGTGATTTGGAGCGGCAGTCCATCGCGATTTCCCTGAAAAATACTTGCTTCTTCCCACAGGAGTAACTGTTTGGTGTCGATGTGTCTCTTTAGTTTTGAGGGCTTTAGCGCCTTATTTGAAATAAACCTCATGCTTTTAGATCAGTGTTGCTACGATCAACATCAAACATGGATCTTCGCTGTTATTTAATGGCTCGTCTGTCATTTTTATCAGCTGCAGCTCGAGCTTCAGGAACGATATGAGAGCAATAAGTAAATGTTAAAATAGGCAGATAATACTGACAGTAAACAGCGCTAGAAGAAGAGGAAAGCCGGCTCTACTGATGATTTCCCTCATCATAAAATACTTCCCACCAGCAGTGAACTGAGCAGGGTTCGGTTGGAAGCGGACCAAGACTAGTGGGTTTCAGCTGTTTATTTTGGACCCAAATACAGGTGGAGTGTTCACACACGTCAGAACGGAGCAAACTAAGGAAAAAAGTTTGATAGATCTGCACTGGACAAGGTAGGAGAAACACCCTGAGGAACCTATCAGTCTCTGGCTAACTGCGATGCGTGCTCGTGGCTGCATTGTCTCAAACTGATGACGTCTAATTTGCCTCTGACTGCAGTGTTTTTGTTTATACATCTCTACCGGCCCACTACGACCTACTGCCTCCCCCTGAGTTCAGGCCCATGGACCACTAGAGAGTGCTTCACGGTCCACTGGTGGTCTGCTGCCCACAGGTTGAGAAACCCTGACCTATATGACCTTTTTGCCCACTGGCCCCCAGTATAGCTCAAACCTGCACAAGTCGCCAGATGTGCCAGATCTTGAACTTCGTTGAAATGTTGTTCACTGAAATGTTACTCATGTCATCAGCATTGTTTTTTAACTCATGGATCCTAGGAAGAAATCTTTATTTGTCTTCCTTTTCCATAGTTAACTCTTTCGCCATTTTTATTTTACACACTCAAACTGCCCCAATTTGTTGCATTTCTGGCACCTTTTATTTCTAGCTGGACACTGTTCCCGACTGCTGTGTGTCCAGCCACGTCTTTTGCAGATCTCTCTTGGCCGATGATCCATTCTGTCTTTCAAATGTTTGGTATGGCTGGTGTCTTTGTTAAGGCATGTGCCTTTAAGCTACACTGGTTTGCTTGTGACCTCATCAATCCACTTCCCTGCCCTCAAGTTAGCCGGCTGCTTTCTGATTTGTTTGAACTTGTGGGATTGTTATGACTTTTTCTAGTATACATTCCAGTTCTAACTAGGGTTTCTGTGACACATCACTGTCTGTCAGACCGATTACTATCTTGTTCCTTGTTAATCTTTGGCTGTAGCAAACTCATAGTGTCGGCCAACTCAAACGCTCCTCACAAACGACTCTACAGGCTCTCCACTGCTCTGAGAGCATCTGTAAACGCATGCAACCTTATGGTAACAACCATATCATAACTCACCTTTATCCTCACCTTATGCAAATGGCTCTCCTTCTGCACCCAATGTGTAGAGTAATGACTTCACCTGCACCAAGCCACTCTCTTTTTGAGCTTCAATTCTACCCGAAAGCAGAAAAACCTCTCCCCAGTGGCCATGAAGACGGCAGAGAAAATAATGCACCAGTAATGGGTAGGATTCACTGGTCTGTCTGTTCTCACACTTCTGACACTATGTCATGAACATACACAGAGCTTTATTTGTTAGGTGAACATTTTTCAGTGAGTGCTCGTACAAGAACAAAGCTCACAGAAGAAAACTGTCGGTAACACAACTACCGAGTGAGTTTAGGTGAGTTTAGAGTTTATCCAGAGGGAAATAATCCAATGTTGTATGCAATAAAAACTTGTTCGACAAATGAAGATGCGATCACATCATATGAGACCAGAAAATTTACATTTTATTCAAGGAAATAACACAGCACCCCCACCAAGTCCAATTCTGCCTCTCTTATGGGGGTATGGGACAGACAAATGGCATATAAGTATGTGTGGATGCATTTCAAACACCTGTAAAATAAGTTTCACCTTTACATTTCAAACCTTCTCAAGTTTTTATTTTTAACAGCACTGACTCTGTAGTATGATGAGAGACTGGAACAATAGTGTGTAAATTTTCTCTTTGGGCATATGATGATGATGATGATGATGATGATGCCAGAATTTTTCTAGCCTTAATATTAATAACTGAAGAATATTTACTATTTTAAAATTGTATATATTTTTCAAGTAATGCAACAAAAAAAAATACTAGCAAATGCAAACTGTCATAAAATACAGAAGCAACCTAACCAACAAAACAGATTTAACAAAACAGCTTAACTAAACAAACCAAATAATTTGTCTTTGTTCTTTCCATAGAGTCCAGTGATGTGTTCGGATTGGTTGGCAGTTCAGTTCGACTAGACACACAGCATCCTGTACCAGTGTTTGATGGTTTATCCTGGGTCTTCAACAGAGCTAAAAATATTTTAAAATATTATACTGAAAATAAAAAATGTAAACAGCATCCTGCTTATGAAGGCAGAGTGGAGTTCAATAATGAAACCTACAGCCTGACACTGAAGAACTTACAGAAGACTGATAGTGGACTGTATGAAGCAAAAGCAGCTGGTGCACAGAACAGAGTTGTTGTTAAGTACAGACTCTCTGTGTTGGGTAAGTCTTACAGTGTGAGATTTAAGGCCAGAAAAAATGCATTCATAGCAAAAACCTGCTGCTATCAGTCAAAATTTGATGTGCTTTTATTCTCTATTTAACCATGTGCATACAGTATTATAAGTCTACTGAGATCTAAGGTCTTATTAACAAGAGTGGACATCTGGAAAGTTCAAGAGGAAATGCAGCAGCCCTTTCAGTACTTTATTTAGGATGACACAGCCAGTAAAAAGGATGAAAAGAACAGTAAAAAAATAATTTAAAAGATGCAACTATGTCTGACTTTAGTCTGAAAAACCATGGCTAGCTTATATATACATATATAGCTTTCTTCATGTAAAACAATCATGTACAACTGACACAATAAAAAAAAAACAGACATAAATTACATTTTATGTCTATGTAAAAAGGACGTAATGAAACTTCTAGGCTATTTAGTCTGTGTATATTCTTTATATTGTATGTTTTGTTTATCTTAACCTATGTAAGCATCTTCGTGTTACTGAAAAGTGCTATAGACATATTATTATTGTCAGTATTATTTTAATTATTTTGATCTGATGTAGTCATATTTGAGTCTAGGCCTCTAAACTACGTTCATAGGACTTCATAAGGTTCTGAGACAGAAAAACAGACAAAGCTAATAACCTCTGTAAGTGATTTATTGTTGGCTGGTGTTTAGTGTAACATTACTAGCAGTACAGTGATCTGTATCTATGTGTGCACCTCAGATCCAGTGGAGGCCCCAGTCTTGTCTTCAGCCTTTCACCAGCTCAGCAACAACACCTGCAACATCATTCTCACCTGTAGAGGTCATGACCTCTGTCTCAACTCCAGCTGCTACAATGAAACCTATGAGGAAAAGGAAGTGACATCACCCGGAGGCATCACCCTTTCTCTGTCTGTCAATGGCAGCAGCATTATCTGTAACCATAGCAACCCAGCCAGCTGGAAGGAGGCTGTTTTGGAGATGGGAGAACTTAAACGATTCTGTGCTGATAAAGGTGTGCACACATACATGCTCAAACACAAGCACATCTTATTTTTTAACCCATTCTGTATTTGTTCTAAGATTAATAATGCATCTTTTTGCCCCTTATTAGGAGAACACAGTACACAGGAAGATGACCCACCCTTACAATTGCTATTGCTTGCTGTGGTTGTCATAGGGGTCATCATTCTTCTAGTTATCTTCATCAGTTTTTATCTTTGCTGGAGGAAATCAACAGGTGTGTCTTTTTTTTATTTCAAATGCATGTTCAGTGTGAAGGTAAACATTTATCATTATCACTCTTCACAATTTTCTGTCAGAAAAACAGCTTTTGAATTATGCAATTTGCAGGTCAAAGCAGTTGTTTAAACAGTTGTTACTGTTAACTGGCAAGTTAACACAGCTGGATACAGAAACATTAGCTTTAAGAAACTCAAATTTGTTGTCATAGCTCAGAAACCAGACAAACTGAAAAACTCCTAACCTTTATTTTCCTGTTCCAGTGAGATCAGTCATTTAAAAGTATGCCGCTCTACCTGATCACTTGATGTGTTACAGGGGTTTTCATTGGCTTCTTCATAAAAAGTGTTGCTCTAACTATTTTGTGTATATATATATATATATATATATATATATATATATATATATATATATATATATATATATATACACCACTGTGGTAGGGGAAACCAGTAAACACTTTTTTTTACACTTTTTGTCTCTGTCTCTACAACTTGGCTTTGGTTTGTTCTATACCTTTCAAACCTTTATATTATTCATATTTGTCTATTACAAATAAAAAACAGTGTAGAAATCTACTGCCTACTCACAAAATGAGGAAGTCTGTGTCAGATACAAAGAATTCCATTGTTACAACCTGCCCCACTTCAGGGGTAGATTTTAACAGTAGGTGGAATATGAAAGAATTTATTTGTAAAGGGCATGTTTTGTCTGCTTTTTATTTTTCAGTAATTAAAAGCAGGAAACAAAACAGGAAAACACTGTGTTAAAATTTCCAACCTTTTTTTCCACACAACTAACTACAAAAGTCTCTGTGGCCCACAAGAAGATTTAACCAATCCAACCATTTTGTAACTGATCCAATGAGACAGCTCAGTAGATTTCAACCATTGGGGAGCTGTTGGCCATTTTGTTAGCTTTTTTTAACATTTTAAAAATTCATTATAGTGTGACAGCTGGCTTACCCTAAATGATGTCTGACCTGGTGGTTCCCTTTTTCAGCGACCAGAACACTATGGGGTAGACAACTGAAATTACTGAAATTACCAGCTTAGTCAGAGACATGCACATGTCAGCATGAACTCATGACTGAGCAGAAAGCAGTGTGTGAGCACCCCTTACCTAGGGTGCCCACAGCTGTTACCACTAATTACCTCTTAGTGGTGCCTTGTCTCCCCCTAGTGGCTGGAGGTGGCCTGGCATTAGGCTGGGATGTTACATTCTTTACAACATACACAATTAATTATTTAAAAAAGTTTCAATTAAAAAAGTAATTAAATATGACAAATATTACTATTGTGATAAATATTTGTTAAATAATTATATTTAGGTAAAACTTGTTTATTGGTCTGGCAAAATGCAAGCTAATTATGTTTATATTTTCATTGTAAATTAATGTAAAATGATTTCTTTTTTCATCGTATGGAATACCTGCTTCATTAATAAATGGTTTCAGAAGGACAGATCCAGAGGCTGGGCCATCTACAATAACAACAAGTGAAGAGGACACTGCGTTTCAGAGAAAACCAAGCATTACCTAAAATGTGCAACTAAAATACAGCAATGAACACTGAGCACTGAGCTTCACATGGGCAGGAACTGAAAACAAGCAACTACCACTTTGATTTGCAAACTCTGAGATCATCAAATGAAGCTTTGAAGCTGAACAATTTATAGTCTCACTTGGAGACTAAATCTCATTAGTTGAGTTAGAAAATTGATTGGATCGTAAAATCTTCTCGTGGGCCGTGGAAGCTTTTGTGGTCAGTTGTGTGGGCCTTCGATTAGTCAAGGAGACAAAAGAAATGACGGAGGAGGCACGAATGCCTTTACCCAATGAACAGTGGGAAATACAGGCTTCTCTGTTTTTGTTACCTATCAACATAAGATGGTTGATATTCCTCAGCATCACATTACAACACAATAGATTAGAAACATATTATAGCTACCCAAATATTACAAGATATAAATAAATAATGATATAAAGTTAAAATATTAACTTTAATAAACAACAGCATAGCAACACCACCCACACTTACTGAATGAAAAATAGTTGTCAAGCATGGAAAGTGAATAAAATTGTAGTGCACTTTACCCAGCTTACCCAACACATGTAGCAGAATCAGTGTGAATCAGTACCGCACCTCTGCTTTATAGATTTTTTCTTACAAATGTCACTTAAGTGCTAACTCCTTCATAGTACTACTACTACCTACTTAATTACTGCTCAGCAAATAAAGACAAAAAACAAACAAATATTTGTCCTACCCTAATTCTGTCATCTTATAGTGTAGAACCTCCTTGGAAGTCTCTCTTTCCTTTCTCCGCAAATTTTGTTGAGCTGTGCCTTTTTTGCAACATCCTTTTTCTAGGCTCTCTGAAAACATCTTTCGAGGCATAACATGAGTTTTCACCAGTGCTGTGCTTCAGTGCTGTCAATTGGGACTGCTGTAACATTACATTGGAAAGATCCAAAATACTCTGAGGCATCCACATCTCTTGTCCAGATCAGTCAATTTCAGTTTGCAGAAACCCAGCTTCTGCTAAGTCAGATGAAGCTAATGCTAGCTTTGTGGATGAATTCAGCTTAAAATAACTTTTTACAATTTTTTTTTAATGATTGGACTTTTAGGATTTGCAGTGATGTAGGGTTAAAGTTGGTGGAACACTGTAGAAGCTAGACATTTTTAATTAAATTTAATTTGAAATGACAAACAGTCCAATCTGATGGAAGCATATAGCTAGATAATATCTGATCAATATCAAATCAGGTAATATCAACGTTATTGTTGCTGAAATACAACCCCATTTCCAAAAAAGTTGGGATGCAGTGCAAAATGTAAATAAAAACAAAATGCAATGACGTACAAATCCTTTAAACCCCATATTTCATTGAAAATAGTACAAGACAACAAATCAAATTTTGAAACTGAGAAATTCTAACCCTGTTTTTTTGAAAAACATATAGGCCCATTTTGAATTTGATGGCAACAACACATTCCAAAAAAGTTGGGATGGGGCAACAAAAGGCAGGTAAAGTTGTGCAATGCTAAAAAAACCTGGTGGTTAATTGGCAACAGGTCAATAACGTGATTGAGTACAAAAAGAGCATCCCAGAGGCTTCAGGACCTTTCCTTCGAAAACCATTTATCAGTGATAATGTTCGTGTAAAGTTTTACATTAATTTGCACAGACAGTATAAACTACTTAGCATTTTGCCAAATCAATCAATGAGAAGAACCTTCATTTAATTATCACAATAACAATATGTCATATTTAATTACACTTGGTAAATTGTTTATATATAATAAAGAATTTTTAAGGTTAAAAAAAAAGTCTGTAAGATTTGCATGTCCTGTGCAAAGGATGAAGGATGCTGGAGGCAGGAGTGACGATGTCAGCAAGCATTTAAACAACACTGACCTCCTCTCTTTGGCCTCTAGATAGATTTTCCAGTCCTTTTTCTCTCACATGCAAGCTCCCATTTCTCATGCTGCTTTCTTGCTTGCTTTCTTTCTTTCTTTCTCTCTCTTTCTTTGAAATGTCAGTAAATCTACATAACATTCTGCAAAGGTGGGCAGATTTGCATCATGTTCAAATGTGACCGCTGTGTCTACATAATGGAGGCAGTCTGAGCACAATCAGAGAGTAACCTCCTCACTGCTTAGAATTTAAAGATCACTGATCAGTGACCTGATAGCAATAAGGGGAAGTTTGTGGGCTTAGAATGAAAAGGTTCTATTTGTGTTCAGTGCAGAACAAATAAGTTGCACTTGATCATAAAAGACTAGAGACAGAATCTGGGTGGATGTGGATCTTAAAAGAACTGTGGAGCAGCATGAAATGGTGTGTTGAAGCCCTGCTTTACTCCTTCTTTTACTATTTGTGACATGTCTGCTTCTGCCTCACAACGGTAATTTAGCATGTAACTCCAACGGTGGCTGTATAGCAGTTAGACAAAACAGCTTTTTAAATTTAGGACTGTGTCTACAGTTCCTTTTCACTAATGATATCAAGGGTTAATATTTCATTTTTTTCATTCAAAACTGCGTAGGTCCCACACAGTGTGAGAACACAGTCTATGCAGAAATTGAGGTAAGATTTAAATAATTCTTATTCCTGTAGACATTTAGACATTAATGACAATAAATACTGTAATTATTTGATTCAGGGATTATGTTGTTTATATTGTTAATTTGTGTAAAAGCTTCTATGGAAGGTAACATGAAACAGGATATTATAATTTCATAATGATGATAATCATGTTTACAGAGGAATTGTGCAGCAACACCACCTATTGAGCTGGAGACACATTCTACTCTGTACAGTGTTGTACAGAAGAAACCACAACCTACAAGTAATGGACAGTCCAGATATGTCAAGATATGTTTTATTTATTAACGCTGTAACCTCTTTGTTACTGAGCTTGCATTTTCTCTTTAGCCCCAAGCTCGGATTTTGAGTGCATACTGCAGCCACAACAAGGCATGTTTTGTTCTCCTCTGCTTCTCTGTGTGAATTCAAATGCATCACTTATTGTGTCCTATAATAGTACTGTGCAAAGGTCAGAGACCACCTTCCATTTCTTTCATTTCTTTCATTTCTAGTCAAAACTGACATTAAGTATCAGGAAACAAAGCGGGAAACACACTGTAGCGTTTCACAGCTATTAAAAGACACAGCTTTTGCACAAGTCATGGTGCTTTATTTTTCAGCTGTTGTTGGTCACAGCTATGCCATTAGCACCCAGACTTCTCTCTAAAAGTTTGGTCCCTACTTAAATCATGTCTTACTCTCTCAGCCGTCAGCTCTTGATTGACTCTCAATTCTTCCTGCTCTCATGCATATCACCTTGAGGAAAGCTAGCCCCACTTTCACAATACCTTCAGAGTCCTTATCAGAAAAACCCGACAAATAACTGCTGAAGAACCAACAAACTAAACCAACATGTAAAAGCATTTCCTGAACATGTTACATTACCCTCCCCCTTACAAAAGTCCTTGCCCCAGAGGACCACAAAGTCTGGGGGCAGCCTCATCCTCCTGGTCTGTCCACCATTCTGGCCAGCACAGGTGCTGTAGGGTACCTGCACCTCAGCAGTGAGCGGCTGAACGTTAGCTTTGTGGCGTCCTCTTCATTGGTGCACCAGGGTGGAAAGACCGAAGTGGGTGTGCAGTTGCTGCGGTGGTCGCAGCAATGCATGTAAAGCTCTGCATCCTCCTCCTCGTTGTGGAGGAACTTCTCACAGCTCACAGCGTTAACCAGCAGTTATACCATATACAGCAGCGTTATCTCTAACAGTTCCCTTGCTACACAGCACACATCTTACTCTCTCAACCGTCAGCTCTTGACTGACTCTTAGTTCTTCCTGCTCTCACACATATCTCCTTGGGAAAACTAGCCTCGCCTTCACAATACGAGTCCTTATCAGAATAATCCCGAGAATAACTGCCAAAGAACCAACAACCTAAACCAACATGCAAAAGCATTTCCTGAACAAGCTACAACAAAAAATATGCCTCAACAACTAAATAAAACATCAGTTTTTCAGTATTTAGTGTGCCCACCATTTGCCTTTATTACAGCTTTAACTTTTTTCAGAAGACTGATGTCCTTCTACAGAGATATTTTGCGGTCTGGACTCTGAGGTGGACAATGCAACAGCAGCTTCTTTGTCTAATTTTTTGTTATTTTACTCAGTACATATCCATTCAGACCCATAGCACTGAGTTGTCATCACAATGGAAGGACGGACAATGTTATGTTTTATTTTTATCGATCCTGCAAAATTACGTTGTCTTTGTCATTTTGCTGCCTAACAACATCGCCAGCAGAACAGTGGAGGGTTAAGGAATTCTCAATCAGTTCTAGCATTTGAACCGCTAACCTTCCAATTACTAGCTCACCTCTCCTACCACTGGACCACCAGCCACCCCATTTGTGGATTTCTCAGTCAGTGTTGGTGGTCTCTCAGGTCTTGCCAGGTTGTTTTGAGTTCCACTTTCTCTGTATTTTTCTCTGTATCTAATTTTGGAAACTGTTTTTCACTTATTTCCTTTGACTTCCCCTTTTCTTATGCGAGTGGTTTATCTTATCTCGAATCTCATCAGAAACATCTGCTGTTAAATTAATAACTTACACTGTTTTGACAAGAAATTAAATAAATAAATATTTCTGACTTTTGCACAATACTGTATATACATTATCCATAAAACTGTATAAAAAGTTTTTTTTTTTGCAAGTACAGTTCTGTTCTAACAGAAAGCCTCAATATGATGAACATTTCCCAACTTGTCTCTGTCAAAGTTCTTTGCAGTTTGATTGTGATTTATTGCTGTAGCCTGTGATCACATTTAAGGATTTCATTTTAGTATTTTTTGCTTGAACAATGTCTGTAACTTATTTAGGTAACATTATTTAATCTGAGCCAGTCCTTCAAATTTTCAGTAAGGAACTTAAATATTTAGTAGCTTCGAATCATACTTAGTTACTACAAATGCTATTTTTTAATCATCATATGTCATATTTTCTTAAATATATTCAGCAGCGGTCGATCTCAGCAGAGCCCTGCATTTCTAGCATCTATGAATCATTTCCAGATCAGTTAAGGAAAACTGAAACCCCATTGATTCAATTAAAGAGCTTTTAGAGTGTAGAAGCTTCAGTCTTGTTTTCCATATGAGGGTTTGTAATACTTTCTTTGGGTGAGAAAACCTGCACATGTGCTTTATTGTAGGATTATTCATTGATTTCATTATGGATCTGCAAACTTATTGAAAGTTGATTGGTTGTACTTTTTTCTGTCCTTTCAATCACAGATACAATCTATGAAACCTGGAACCATTTATACCACAGTTTCAAATCTCAGCAAAGCTGTGAATTAATTTGAATGGAACCACATCACTGAAAATTGAAGCCACTCTTGATTTACACAGAAGGCTAAGAAGATTCCCAGTGATTTCACAGTCATCTTGTGCGAGTCCACAAAAGTACAACTGGCCCTCCTCTAACTGGGTGTAAAAGATGGCTTTGGCCCACTGCTGATGATAGCCCGTCTTAAAGAACAGAGCTTTTTTTCAAACAACATTTTTGTTTACACTGAGATACAGTCATAAAACTGGACAATTCCAGCTGTGGATGTCTTTACAGATCAGAAACCTTTTCGTTGTAAGTAAAAATACGTACGGGGTAGCTCCAGCTTTTAGGGGCCCTAAGTAAGGATTTTTGGGGAGGCTCCCATCTTGCTAAATGGAGATTTGGCAGAAGTTTGATGGACATTTACCCCACCATGGCTACTGTTTGTTTTCTGCTTGTGCTGTTCTTTTTGGCTAGGGCAGAATTCTTTCCGATTGACTTTACCCCCCAAAGGACATGCCAAGCCAGATGCCCCTGCCGGCTGCCCGTCCAGCACCGGCGTCGCTGTGCTACTGGCTGTATGGCTGTTGGTATGGCCAACCCATGTATCAGTTCTGTCGTCTCACCTTCCCTCGCCGATTTTGGTGACACACTTGACTCCTCCACAGCTCAGACTGCAGGACTGGTAACATCTGTGCTCCATGAAGCTGCTGACCAAACTGTCTCTCTCTCCAGCTCCAACTCCAGGGCCGCAGGCAAGTTGCGCTGGCAGGCCAGCTGTATGTGGATGCCAAGGTGGTCTCATGTTGGCTAACTCTGCCTAGAAGATGGCGAGCATAAGTCCATCTAGCTAAAGTTTCAGGAGTTTCAGTGTCAAATTGGCCTGACTGAATGTCTTTGGACTGTGGGATTTAAATCAGTAAATTTATATGAATTATCTTTTCAGTGTCTCTAGTCTGCACGTCTATATTTTCTACAGTCCAAAGATGGCAGCACACTCACTGAATTCACTGAAATTTTGTGCTGAAATGTGTGTAAGCGAAAACTGTAAGTGATCAAGTGTGTTGGTGACAGGTCGGTTCTTTTCATCTGACGTGTAGAATTCAGATTAAAAACGCTCATTGGGTGTTGCAAGGTTGTGTTTTGATGCTTATGCCTTTTTTATATTTTCTACCATTATATCATAAGAAGATTTGCCCTATAAAGATGTTGCGGTATTATATAAGGTCTTGCTGGACTCACCTGGTGATTTGTCTCGGATCAAGGGTGGGGAGACTTGTTACCCCCCTAATGTAGATGTATGCCACTAATAAAAAAAGGGGTAAATGAAATCAGAAAGGTTCTATTTTCTTCTTATAAAGCGTTTGCCATCTTTACTGACCGATGGTTTTATAGACCAGCATGCTGAGTAGATTATGGTTTCCACCTGTGTGTTGTTTATAGCAGCGTGTTTATGTTCATGTCTCCTTTCAGTAGGCAAGTAGGAGACAAGAGAGAGATGGGCAGATGCAGAGTGAGCTTAGAATCCAGGGAAACCAAAATTTTTTTATTAATATTTCTTCATATTTATTCTAATATCATATCAGTGGTGAAACTTCTGACAGGTGGGAAAGTCAAACCTCTTATGCAGTTTTACACCTATGACTTGTAGCTACAATAACTTTGTAATATACTTTATTAGCTGACTTTAGAGCACCAGACTGGTTGAGATAAAGCAATAGCTTGGAAAGCAATAGCTTCCTTTTTAGCTCATCCACTGTTTTACCAAAAAGCTCCTCTGCCATTTTCCTTTCCTTCCTATTTTTCATTGCCTTTTTAACAAATTCAAAATAGTTTATATTTTTATGTATAGACAAGTGTCATAAAACATGAGAGGCAAAACCAGCTGCTTGTATTTCAACATTTTTGTAGTTCAGTTCTCCCCCAGGTTTATTTCAGACATTGTAAATAATGGATAGATGAAATTATAGCACCTTAATAACTACAGGGCTGCATCAAGGCTGCAATATGATTCTCACTGATGGCCATTTTATATTACCTAACACAAACAACCTGTACTAAGCAACAAATATGAAATGTCACCAGACACTTTTGCTTCATACAGTCCACTATCAGTCTTCTGTAAGTTCTTCAGTGTCAGACTGTAGGTTTCCTCATTGAACTCCACTCTGCCTTCATAACCAGGATACTGCTTAGCTTTTTTAGTATCACTAAAATATTTTACAGTATTATTATTATTATTATTATTATTATTATTATTATTATTATATTATTATTAAGTTTCGATATATAATATTTTAGAACATTATTAATTCTGTTAAAAACCCAGGATAATTCATCAAACTCCAGTACAGAGTATGTCCATTTGAACAGAACTGCCAACCACTCTGAACACATTACTAGACACTGTAGAAAAAGAACAAAGAAAAGTTTTTTTCTTATATTGTGATGACTTTGTCAAGCTTTAGTAATGCCTAGCACATTAATAACTATTTAACAACACACACATATACCATATGCTACTACATGGCATAATTTAAACAAACAGCATTTACAATCTTTACGGGGTATGAAAGTGAAAGGCATTACTTCATTTATGTGACTATATGAATGTTAGGCTAAAGGCAGTATCACCAAGCACATGAACACTTTGAACACCCACTTACACTGTCAACATGCTGGACTCAACTTTAAAATGATAGATTATCATACATTTAATCTCTACATTGGTAAATGTCAGAGATTTGTTTTTGTGAGGGACAACTTTACTGAAAAGGTGAGACTGTGGTGGATGTGGCAGTTTAACCTTCAAATCTTTCATTATGGCAAGACAAGTTCAGTACAGTTTGCATTAGATTGTCAAGCATTCCTAGTGTAAAACTAGCAATTTAGGCTTTAGGCAAAACTTTGGGTGTGCCGTACATTTTTTCTTTTTAAATAAATATATAGGTGTCTTTTGGCCACAAGCTACTTGGTCTCAGGAAATTTAGTCTCAAGTGGGGCCATCTATTATTTAAAAATAAAAGGACGTTATGGTGTTGAAATGTTGTTGCAATATGCTGTGCTGGGCTATGTGGCTTGTTAGTGGAGTTGGGGGCTACTATGTATGTGAGATGTATGGCTGGAGCTGACCTACCTATCGTTTAGATAGTGCTCTTGGTGGGTTTCCCCTGCGTCATGTCAATAAAAGAGCACTCGTTTGAAGCGCTGTTTCCTGTGACGACTTCTTCTATGCCAACTGACCTGTGCGATGAACTGAAGAGGAGGAATCTGATCTGGAGAGATTTTGTATGGAGGAATGGTCTCAGATCCTTTGCCATGTGTTCGCCAGTCTCATTAAGCATTATAAGACTCAGAGCTCTTATCTCTGCAAAGAGAGAATGCACAAAGTATTAAATGAAGGGGTGCCAATAACTACATGAAGCGTGGAGCATGGGTCCTTGTACCTGTTAATAAAAGAGCACTTCTTCTATGCCAATGCCACAGTGTTGTCAAAAGAGGGATAGTACACTGGATAGTAAACATTGTTAGTATTAGTTATAGTACAAAAACAGGGAAAACAGGTGGAGCAAATGATTAATTTGATTAGTTTAGTTCATGCGGCGGCAGCAGCAACAGCAGCAGCATCCGTGGGGTCAGGTTGTGAGGGTGAGGTTTGCATGGCGAGCAGTGGCACCCAATCAAGGCAGAAGAGGCAGCAGCATCAGAACGCACAGGATGGGCAGCTGTTCAACTCAGCAAAGAAAAGAAAGAAAGGAAAAACACACAGAGTCAGTTCTGAAATGGGTGATTGATTAATTTGATTAGTTTAAATGATTGATTAGTTCAAATGATTAATTTTGATTAGTTCATGTAGCAACAGCTGTAGCATAATTGGGGTCAGGTTGTGAGGGTGAGGTTTGCACGGCGTTGTACAGCAGGATGCTCAATGGTGGTAAGCTGGTCCAGAGGGCTGGCGAGCAGTGGCACCCGATCAAGGCAGAAGAGGCAGCAGCATCAGAATGTACAGGATGGGCAGCTGTTCAACTCGGCAAAGAAAAGAAAGGAAAAACAAACAGAGAGTCAGTTCTGTAATGGGTGTCAGTTCTGTAATGGGTGACTGATCACAGATTACAGTGTTAGCAGAGCAGCAGAGACTCTGGCAGGTATAGAACTGACAGGGAAAACTAATTACCAAAGGCTTGACTATACAAGTAGGTTTTTAGCCTAGACTTAAAGACTGAGGCTGTGTCTGAGTCCCAAACATTAACAGGAAGATAATTCCAAAGCTGGGGGGCTTTGTATGAGAAGGCTCTACCCCCCTGGCGTAACTTTAGTAATTTTAGGTACTAATAGTAAGCCAGCACCTTGTGATCTAAGTAGGCGTGATGGTTCATAGTGAGAGAGAAGTTCACTCAGGTACTGAGGGGCGAGTCCGTTTAGAGCTTTATAGGTCAGTAAGAGAATTTTATAATCAATGCGAAATTTAACTGGTGACTAGTGTAGGTTTGATAGAACTGGGCTGATATGGTCAAACTTTCTGGTTCTAGTAAGAACTCTGGCTGCAGCGTTCTGGACTAGCTGAAGCTTGTTAAGGCTTTTGCTGGGACATCCAGCCAGCAGGGCATTACAGTAATCTAGCCTTGAAGTAATAAATGCATGAACTAACTTTTCTGCATCCTGTAGAGATTATGCATTTCTTAATTTAGCAATATTGCGAAAGATGCAGGAAGGCTGTTCTGTGTGTGCGTCGAAGGACAGAACAGAAAGACAAATAAACATGAAATTTTTCTTGCTGGCCTTTCTAAGAAAACATGCTATTTTGACCACAAGCAGCTTTTTGGATTAAGCATTTTTGGTTAAGGTTAGGTTTGAGGTGCAGTATTACTTGGCTACAACAACTGACATCTATAGGAGTCCTCAAAAGTGTAGTGATACCAAGGCGTGATAATGATAATCATACCTCATGGTGGTCATCCTCCCCCTCCCCCACACCGTATCTGCATGTCTGTGGTTATCCACTAAACGGTTTGGCAGTGACGAACTACAACTTTTTATAATATCTTATATATAATATGTCTAATATTATACTCTTGTTTTTTACCTTACAGGAAAAGATACTCAAGCTAAACCTGAACAGCCTCATTTATTTTCCACAGAACTTAATGTTTCCTATTCATTCCTGCTGTGCTTTGTCACCTTGAGTATAATGACATATTGCTTATATTATGTATACATTACAATGACTTTATATTATTTGGTGTCTTTGGTCATTTTTCTTCACTTATTTCCTACTTTTTTATGTCTTGCTCATTATGGAGGTTTTAACCTCTGCTTACTTCCTTGGTTTAGAAACTTCCTCACACGATGGCCGTGACAGCACAGCTGATTTCTGTTCTCTTCAGTTTGGTCTCGATCACAGGTAAAAAAAAAAAAATTAAACTTCATTACTGCCTTTTACTTTATGGAGGCTAAACTATATTATAACCAGTAATTATCTTAAATATTTTCACATCGTAGATGAAGAAATCATCATCAATCACTATCACTTAACCATGCTATGGTCATTATTAAGGTCAATGTACTCTTAAAATATAGATTATGAAGTCAGCAGTATGGATAGATGGATAGATTTTGTTGTAGTGAACTCTCAGATAAAAGGTACTAAACTGTCACTGGGGCGTTACCCCTCTTGTCTCTGGGGCAGTACCCTCAAGAGTATGTCTTCAGTACCTTTAGTACGGGAATATAATTGTACAATGTTACATTGAAATGTTCTTTTTAAGCCTTTTTTGACCCTACATACCAGCTGT